CTCTATTTTCGGCGCTTAACTTGCCTGCCTGCTTGAACACCCAACAATCCATGTTCGTGTGATTGGCTGGTTTTTCGGGGGTGCCGTGTATCTGGCACAAGCGATCGAGTATTCGGTCCAAATTGGACGGGCCCGGAGTACTTCTTTTGAATGGCTTTTTCCGCTGACCGGGTTTAGAGCCTCGGAATCCGGCGTTAACTGTCGTATCCTCCGCATTGTCACCGTTAATGCGGCACTTGTGTTTGTTGCGACGCGACCTGCCATTGTTGTCCTTGGTATCCGAATTACCAGGGCTCTTGGTCATGTTATTACTACAAGCTAGCCAGTTGTCTTCTCCCGTGCAAAAGCGAGTCATGAGTGTTGTGAGGGCTGCCATGGATTTCGGCTTTTCCTGTCCTAGGTGCCGGGCAAGCCATTCGTCACGGATGTTGTGTTTGAAGGCTGCGAGGGCCTCTACGTCCGGACAGTCGACTATTTGATTTTCTTGGTTAAGAACCGTGTCCAGAATTGTCTGGCCGATTCCTCTGGCTGCTGAATGATGTGGCTTAGGTCATCGGCGTCTGGTGGTCGCACATAGGTGCCCTGGAAGTTGTTGAGGAATGCGGCTTCCAGGTCCTCCCGGCAACCAATTGACTCTGTTGGCAAGCTGTTAAGCCAATGCCGAGCTGGTCCTTTAAGCTTGAGTGGGAGGTATTTGATAGCGTGTAGATCATCACCGCGGGCCATGTGGATATGAAGGAGATAATCCTTGATCCATACCGCAGGATCTGTTGTGCCATCGTATGATTCGATGTTTACGGGTTTAAAACCCTCGGGGATTTGATGATCCATTACTTCATCTGTGAAGCATAGTGGGTGTGCGGCGCCTCTGTACTGGGCTATATCACGACATAGCTCAAATGAGCTTTGTCTGCTGTGTTCGGCCTGGCCGTATTTTCCATGTCCGGCATGACGGTTATCGCCACGTGCCATGGGGCGCCCACGCGATCCGTAGATCGATCTTGTTTGCCTTGCCTTGTCCTCCAATATGTCTCGCAGGTCCGGCGCGTTTCCCCGTGCCTTGGTATAGCGGTGCCGGGGTGCGGCTTGAATCGATGGCCGAGAGGCCTCTCTGTCGCGGCCACGAGGTGGCCGGTCGGCCGCGTCGTGCGCTGGTGATGTAGGTTTATGTGCTTCCTCCTCTAATCGGGGTAGCAGCCTGCACTTTGGGTAGCTCTTGGAGGGGCGTTCGAGTTCATACTCTTCGGCCGCAAGGACTTCAGTCCATCGGTCGGTTAGCAAGTCCTGGTCAGCTCTAAGCTGCTGCTGTTTTTTCTTGAGGCTGCTTGCCGTGGCCATAAGCCTGTGTTTGAAACGCTCTTGTTCGACGGGATCCTCAGGCACGACAAAATCGTCGTCTTTGAGGCTTGCCTCGTCTTCGGAGGGAGGCATGTAATTATCATCCTCGACCTCCCTGTCTATCGTTCTCTCATGAGGGTTGGCTTCTCCATCCTCCTATGGTGAATCCTGCTGGAGGGGGTTGTCTTTGGCACTGTCCGGGGTGTTATTATCTCCCGTGCCGGAATCACCGTTTTTGCTTTGGCGGGATTTAGAGCGGCGCCGCTGATGCCAGCGCTTAGGCTGCTTCTTGGAGGGGTCGTCCTCCGTTGTTCCATCACCATTCCCTTCTTTTGGGGTGTCCACCATGTATATGTCGTATGATGAGGTGGCCTTCCAGTTCCCTAGAGGCGCTGGGTCTTGGTCGTCTCCTACATCGTCGTCCATACCGTCGATGTCTTCGGAGTCAAAATCGAGCATGTCGGTTAAATCATCGACAGTGGCTATTAAGTGGGCGGTGGGTGGGCTTTGAACTTCTTCGTCGTCCGCATCCCATCCTTGCTGACCATAGTCCGGCCAGGGCTCTCCTGATAAGGAGAGAGACTTTAGTGAATTCAGAATGTCATCGAAGGGTGAATGCTGAAAGATGTCCGCGGCGGCGAACTCCATGATCGGCGCCCAATCGGATTCGATCAGCAGGGGCGCAGAAGGTTCGGAGTCCGGAGAGGAGTCCGGCACCTTGGAGTCGCGAGCTTCGCAAAGGACAAGACTGGTGTTCGGCTCGATCGCCGTAGAGGTTGCAGCCCCCGAGGCGGTGTCTAGCCATCCGTCCTCGATTAGCGTAGTCGGCTCCGAGCTAAGGGTCGAAGCGGACACCGGGGCGGCCTCCTGGGCACTGTTCGGCGGCAGAGCTAGATCATGCCCATCGCGACAGTGCGGCGCGCCCGGCCGTGGCTCGAGTCCGTCGAAGATCAAGTCTCCACGGATGTCGGCCGTGTAGTTCAAGCTTCCAAATCTGGCCTGATGGCCAGGGGCGTAGCTTTCGATCTGCTCCAGATGGCCAAGCGAATTGGCCCGCAGTGCAAAGCCGCCGAATACGAAGATCTGTCCGGGGAGAAAAGTCTTACCCTGGACCGCGTTGTTGTTGATGATCGGAGGAGCCATCAGGCCTAAAGATGACGACACAGAGGAACTCTCAATGAAAGCACCAATGTCGGTGTCAAAACCGGCGGATCTCGGGTAGGGGGTCCCGAACTGTGCGTCTAGGCGGATGGTAACAGGAGACAAGGGACATGATGTTTTTACCCAGGTTCGAGTCCTCTCGATGGAGGTAAAACCCTACTCCTGCTTGATTAATATTGATGATATGGGTAGTACAAGAGTAGATCTACCACGAGATCAGAGAGGCTAAACCCTAGAAGCTAGCCTATGGTATGATTGTTGTTCGTCCTACGGACTAAAACCCTCCGGTTTATATAGACACCGGAGAGGGCTAGGGTTACACAGAGTCGGTTACAATGGGAGGAGATCTACATATCCGTATCGCCAAGCTTGTCTTCTACGCGAAGGAAAGTCCCATCCGGACACGGGACGAAGTCTTCAATCTTGTATCTTCATAGTCCAGGAGTCCGGCCAAAGGTCATAGTCCGGTCATCCGGACACCCCCTAATCCAGGACTCCCTCACCCACCAATATTTTGTAGAAGGTTATGCTCCATAGCCACATCGAGGATCTGCTGCAAAGGGTCGATGACGAGGACAAAGAGCAATGGTGACAGAGGGTCGCCTTGAAGAATGTGGATACTAATGTTGCACTCCAGTCCTCAAAACGCCACGGGAAACCCCTTCTCAACATTATGACAACTTTGTGTTTGTACAACCTTCGCAGTCTTCAAAATATTATAAAACATGTATATTATGGAGGCTGCCACTGCTAGAGTTGCTCTAAAGTATGAGAAACCGTTTGACACACTAAACTTTAGCTTCAAACACAGCGCACATGAACTTTAGCTTCAAACTCCACATCTGATAGGACAGGAGAAGCGATGAACTGTGCGCCCATGAGCCATTTCACCTCATAGCGTCCTAAGGAATTTAATTTGGTTAGGTACCTCGTAGCCATCAAACATTTTACATGTCAAGGGCCCCACATCATGTAGTCGCATTTTATAAGAACAGTGTTCCCTTTATGCTGCCGTCCAGCATTTTTGTATCACCACAATATCTTTGCTGGGTCATACTACCTCCCAAGGCTCCAATCATGAGCAGGGGTTGTTCCACACCTCTTTCCAGGGGGGGCCCTTGGTCTCTACGGCCTCCCAAAATTCTGCAAAGGAAACACGCTTACGACGAGAAGACCATTACCCACTGACAAGAGCGGCCAAATCGGAACACTTTTATAGCATATTATCTGATAATTAAAGAAACGTCCATGACACATGTTGTCCTACGTTAACCTGCAGCACTCCTAGTTTTGGACATCATCATGTGGCTAAGTACAGAAGTTTAAGTGAAACTAATCGGTGGTGCATATATTAGTGGATGTTTGTTTACAGGGACTTAAAACCAAACAGGAGGGACTTATAAGGACTTAAAGTGGGTATTTGGGACTTATGGAATAAGACCCTGACGGAAAGTCTTTCTGGGTCTTTTAGTTGTAACATGGTCTTTTAGTCCATGTTTACTCTCAGGAACCAAACAGGTAGGGACTTTTTAGGGACTAGCGACTTTTTAGTTGGGGCTAAAAAAAGTCCTAAGACTTATGAACTAAACAGGGCCTTAGGACGTGTGTTTAGGTGGTGAGACTAATCAGTGCAGGCATAGATTAGCCTCATTGGAGGGTATAAATAAATATTGGTAGACTTTGTCCACTAGAGATGTTTGGTTGTGAGCATAACGGACTCTCCATGTTTAGTACTATCAGAGAATCAAGTAGGCTAGCTCTTGCCATCGGTCGGTTCGCCAGTCCTGTAGTGGGCGTCTTAATTAATCCTCACATTTGTTTATAAATAGCAGGTCTACACAACATCATGTCTTCAAATAGCATGCTCATACGAGAACCAAAGGTATTTTCGTACGCAGTTTCTGGCAACCGGCTGCTGATTTAGACCCTACTTATAATTAACAACAGCCCACAATCTAAAGCCGGCCTAAAGCGTATTAGGTGGGTGCTTAACATTCATATGTGAGGCGAGGTCTAGCGATTCTGGAAGCGATGCATTCTCACTAGTCGCAACGCGTGTATAAGCAGAAAGCAACCGACACGCTGTTGCGCTCGTGTAAGACCAAGTCACCAAGACAAACGCTCAAAAAAAGGCACGAAGACCAGATAGGAACTCCCCACAGTTGCACATACGGATGGCGGCTTTTTTTCTCTCGGTCCACACGATCCAACTTCATTCTGACTTCAGGTTTTGCTACATCATCATTGGCAAGACGTGATAGACATTGTTCTTTATCCGGGGGCAAGAAGGGTAGCGTACCAAATAAAGCCTGCAACCAAGGCGACTACAGGTTCCACAGTGGCATTGCGTTGTGCTTTAAGCGCAGCTACAGGTAAAAATAAGTACATGCGTTCAGGTTATCAGTTTACTTCGATGTTGAAATGCAGGGCGGCAAGAGCTGTCTGCACAAGTGTAGACGTGAAAGCACCCCGTTCTACAGTTGAATATAGACCGCGACCCTTCATAAGATTCGGAAATGGCACCTGCGAGAACAAGACACCAAGTTTTACAGTTAAGATACCATTAAAATAGAAACAATCATCATCCACAAATCATTAACACACATGATAAGCTTGTCAGCTAGAGGTGACATGGTTCTCATGTGATCAAGAAAGAAATAATTGAAGTATTAACAGAACTAACAACGAACAGACATCTTTGCTCTGTTGCCATGGTTCCGTGTGATGAAGAATCCTAATCTGCGGGAAAGATCCTCACCAGCACTTATGCTGCTTCTGGTTACACACAATCGATTCCTAATAGTAGGTAGGGTTGCTGATGAGGCAAGGGGTGCCACGTCGGCATCGGGGTTGAGGGCAAATTGCTGACTAGGAGGGACACTACTACAAAATAAGGGTTGTGTTTGTTGCAAAACTTTCAAGAACCTGAGGTTTTATGCTACTTAGGAAGAGGACATGTAGTTTTTTGCAATTCACTGTAAAGGCTGTTTTCAACAGAATAGTAGACTAGAAAAAAGAACACAAAACCACCATCGTGTGTTTGTTCAATAAGTCTCCATGTCCCTCTCCAACAAAAGTATCCATGTCGCAATTTAGGTAGTGTTGTGTCACATTTAATCCATGTCAACTTGGCGTTTAAGAGCGAAGGTATACACTATTGTATTTGTTAGTAATACTTGTAACAAGGGGAGTAACTACAAGGATATTGCTTCTCAGTTGAAAAGGCAACCTACATGTTTACCTTAACAAAATATTGGAAAAAGGAAGATCTGGTACTTCTTGATAGGCTAAAAATGAAATAGAACACTTGACACAAAGGTTTTAGTAAAACATACCCCATAAGTCCTCTTCCGTGCCACTTTCTTGGTGTAATTGTCAAGTTCATTGGTGATCCCTGACGAATGATGAGCAGAGACACTTGATTATCCTCACTGGAAAGGGCTTCAGAAACAAGCCTTTCTTGCAATCTGCCGCCAGCCTCTACACTCCCAAACTTCACTATCTCATCCCCAAGCAGCAAGCCATCCAAAGCAGCAGGAGAACCATCTGCGATGTCATCAATCATCGCAAAAGGAAGTCTGGTCACCAGATCTTCTTCCATAGGATCATTTTGAGACAATCCGCCATGCAGTGGAGCTGATATACCTGCATGCAATCAAATATGATGGAGATAAGCAACTCTAGTTTCCTTACCATATAACTTGACTGATGCTCAAGAACGGCCCATGTTTCAAGGTAAAAACTGGAGGTTTAACACGCCAATGTGCAAATAATGCTATGGCATCAATTGCTTCTCAGTTTGTGTTCATGCCATAAAAAAACCATTCCCAAAATGCTAAACCGTTCTTGTAACTGAGGGTACTTCCAAGTGTCGGTTTTAATGGACAAGTGTAAATTACTAAGTGTTGGTCAGGTTATAAAGATCATTCCTAGATGATGTCACATAAGAAAGCCCTGGCACAGCACAGTAGAGCAGGAACTCGAGAGACCAAGACGAACTTTGAATATGTCCAATCTCACAGATTTACTCCCTCCATCTCCAAACATAGGTCAACTTCGGATGCATGTAGTCAAGCCTTTGAAACTTTGACCAATATTGAGCTAGTATATTAAGAAGTATACAGGTTTGCTAAACAAAATAATTTCATTCAATTTGTGATACACAAGTTCTATTATTTAGGTAGTATATTATGATACAAATTAGTTACAATCGTGCATTGGAGTTCTAAAAGTTTAAAAAATGGCTTATATTTGTGGACAGCAGGAGTACAATATTTATGGAAAATAAGATATATTTATTGTCATGTGCTCCTAGACATCTGAGAAGATACGACTGGCCAAGATCTATAACTTTGGATGCACATTTCCCATCATGACAAGTTAATGTGAGCACAGAGTGTACAGTACTTACCAGAACTTCTCGGGATTGATTGCTCATTTCTTGTTAATTTTGTAGAGTGTAAAACTTCCAGATTCTTCTCAATTTTGTTTGTAACATCCTTGTGGTCATTCCTCAGCTCTGCAATGTACATTATGCAGTGTAAGTACCAATTATACTTAACAGCACGCTGAGAAGATTTAGAATATACACGCTATGATGATGTGTAATGATTTTTTCTTTTCAGTCAGCCTAAGCCCACAGGCCAAATCTGTAAATATCCTCAGCAATGAAGAACAAGAGATGATCCTGAACTTCTACAAAAATGTCAGATATCACTACACTTTAAGCTCATCAGTTCAGAAAACCCTGTTCAGGTCCATCCATGTAGCACAACATACATCACTATACTACACCCATAATTTCCTATATATGTTCAGAATCATAGTACTATCAGTTCGCTACTATCAGGTCCACCCCTGATATCCAATTTGCTGAACACTCAGCCATGTATGACTCATATCAGGGCCACCTCCCAACATACAGAACTCACCACCCTCAAAGGAGAAGCAATTCAACGACAACTCTTGCATCCCCATTACTGGCCACAAATGTCAGCATATTTGCAGAAATCAATTCATAATCCCGGACCATGAATGAAGCCCCATAAGGTGCACGGCATACGCCAAAACAAACGAAGCACGTCAGCAGTACATGTAGCCATACGGTAGAAACAAGCGCATCGATATGATAAGTAGTACGGCGAGAATTCGAGTGAGAGCATACCACCGAGCTTGCGGCGCTGGGCGAGGACGGCGGGGATGTCGATGTCCGCCCTGGGGAAACCCTAAGCCGAACCAAAACAGCCGCGATTAGCAAACTAAACCGTCCAAGGAAGAGGAAGGAGCGGAGGACAACGCCTCGGGTTCATGCCGCTAGGGTTTTGGGGCGCGGGGGGGAGCGAGGGCGCGACGGTACCTCGGCGTCGACGAGGGAGCCCGTGATGCCCGCCCCGCCCGGCGCGGAGAGGGCCGCGATGATGGCGTCCATCTCCGCCTCCAGCGCCGACCGCCGGTCCATCAGCCTCATCGTCTCCGCCTTCACGTTCGGCGCCACCATGATCTCTCTCTCTCTTTCTCTCTCTCTCTCTCTCTCTCTCTCTCTCTCCTCTCCGCTGCGGTGCTGTTCTCTGCGGCGGCCGAAGGAAGAGAGGGACTGATCTGCGTGCGGTGCGGGTCGGAACTCTCTACTCGCGTCCAGTCGAAGCGCTACGCACCGTTCGATCTAAAACCGACGGTCGCGATCGGACGACGCCAAGTCACTCTGGCCAAGTCATTCTGGTTCGGTTCAGACGGAGCGAGCGGTCTTCTTCCTCCAGAACCCTCTGCCGTGCGGCGCGGCTCCTCTTCCCTTCAGAAGGCAAGAGCGATTTTGGATCCGGGGCCTCGAGCTCGCGCTGCGCTCCTGCCCTCTCCCGCCGACTCCCGGAGCTCCGTTCATCGGTGAGCCCCGCCAACCCTTTCCCGTGCCCATTCTGAGATGTGCTAGTCTGTACCTCGGTGTGATCTTAGCCTTGCTCACCTTTGATGCTGGCGATTCCGTATCCATGATTCTTTATGCGTTTTACTGCTTCCTGCTGTTAGGTAGTGGATCGATTGAATTCTACTCCTACTACGGAAGTTAGGATTAGTTATAAGTCTGAATCTCCGTTGAATTTCCTGGAGGAGGATTTTTTGTGCTGCGTGTGGTAGGAAATGAGATGTATGTGGTAGAATGGGTCTAGGAACCCCTTGCCAGATTTCTACATAACCGAACGTGTGCCTGGCTGGATTTAGCATGCGCGAATTGCATGGAGCCGGTATTCGGAAGTTCATGACAGCAGAGTATGGAGGCTTCTTGACACTGTCGAGTAGTCAAATTCAGAGGCATATATTTATGTACAAATGCTTGAAGCACACGCTGAATTCATAACCCTGTCGGAAGATGCTCGTTGCCAGCTTTCACCCCTCCAACTCGACGATGATGCACAATACCAAAAGCAAAGCTGTGCTATAACTTACTGCCTGAGCTAGGCTGCCTAGACATTTGCTGTAGATCCTGAACATTTGAAGATGTTTAAAGTTATATGGTCTTAATATAGCAGTCTGCCCTCTTTACAAAAAGGTTGTCTATGCAAATCATGGAACCCAAGGATCTGTTGTTTCCCTTGATTTTACTTGCCATTAACTGTAGCTCTGTAAGCTCCATTTGGGTTGATCATAAGTAGTTTGTTACCTCAACATCTCGAACGGTGTTGACAACACTGTTAAGGTACATACTACGTAGCCAATTTTGATTGGATATAAGATGCCTATTTCGCCATTGGCCCTTTTTTCTCCTGCAACTATTGTAGCTGTGTTGTTCTTCTGAGACTCCTGATATTGCCACAAGGAGCTAGTATGTTGCGATTCTGTTCCATTGTCTGGATACTGTATACGCTGCAAGTGATCGTAAAATTTTGCTGGCATACACTACTTAGCTTTCGAATTGGATGAATTCTGAACTTATTGAAATTGGTGGTCCCACTATGCACTACATAATCTGATACTGATACTTTGTTGCCTTCTAAGAACCGGGTAATCAAAATTTTGTTGTCTTCTAAAAATTACACTACTAGGTTCAGGGTTCAAAAACATCCATGGTTCAGATTCCGTGATGCTGTTGATTTCCATTATCTGAATATACTGTTTACACTGAACATGATCATACAAAAGTTCACTAGCAGGTGGTACTACTAGCTTTCAAATTGGGTATGTTCTGAACATGTTGAAACAAGTAAATCCCAGCACGTAAATGAATTATGTGTAGGCTTTTCAAAGTCCAGGCAACGAAAACTGTGTACCCTCTAAAATACTAGCAGGTTCAGTGTTCTAAAGCCCCTGTGGTTCATCCCTGAACAATCGAGCTGTTGGTCTTCCTGCCTCGTTTTGTTTTGACAGTTGACACTGATGTGGTACCATTACGATTTATTTCAGAGGAGATGGAGAACAGTGCATCTGCAACAACCGTTACCCCAACTGCAGAAGAAAAAACCGGGCAAGCTCCAGCGCCTGACACGAAGCCGAAGAAGAAGATATGCTGCGCCTGCCCCGACACAAAGAGGCTGAGAGACGAGTGCATCGTGGAGCATGGCGAGGACGCGTGCGGGAAGTGGATCGAAGCCCATCGCCTATGCTTGAGAGCCGAAGGGTTCAACGTCTGATACGTTCATAGCGGCTCTAGACTTGCTCCTGTGGTTCTGGACGACGAACAATGTCAGTTAACAGTTTCATCGCTGGGCATTCCAGTTTGCGGAGAGGGATGTTTTCCCCCTAATAGGCATTCATGCCACAGATAATGTATGAAATTTTGTTATAGTGGTACTGTGTTGGGCTTCTCCAAATGGTGTTATTTTGGAGACATTCTTGTTTCTTCCTGTCCACTGGTTGCACTGGCCACTGAATTATCGTGATAGCATAGTACTGCTTACGGTCCCCCGTTCGTAATTCTGTTGCCGGCGCCTGTTGCCTCCTTTGGCTGAACCGAGCAGCACCACACGGTTTGCTGGTCACGGTGTTGTGGAATATGTGCTCGTATCGTCGTGTGGATGGACGCAGCTGGGTTGTGCGCGCCGTCAGCTTTTTATTTCTGGCGGCGGGGGCTGCGTGGTATGTAAGCAGATGCTGAACTTTGAGTAGACGAGTTTACGTGCGACGCAGACCGTTGGTTCGCGAACGCTACCACGCGAACTGATTCGTTTGTGCGCCCCTGGGTTTTGTGTGCACGGGTATGCCAGTAGGTGATGTCAGAAAAAAAATAACTTCTTTCCCAAAAGAGTTGCAGGAAAGAAAAAAAATTGCGAACCAACTTGGGGCCTCTTTGATTCACAGAATTTTATTTTATTTTTGGTGAAATTTTTTATCAGTTCATAATCAAATCATGACAGTATAAGTATAGAGATCACAAGAGATAACAAAAAATACAACCAAATATATGGACCATCTAACGACGATTACAAGCACTGAAGAGAGCTGAAGAAGCGCCACAATCATCGTCCTCCCTCACTAGAGCTAGGCAAACTTTATGGTAGTAACGGTCGGGAAGTCATCGTGAGAAAATCTCATAGGACCAGCGCTCCCGAATAGCAATCGTCGACGAATACCATCACCAACCGAATCTCGTGAAACCATAGAGACACTCCTCCACACGCCCTTCGACAACGCTAGACGTATCATTGAGACGAGGATCAAACTTGGAAGACATTACTCCTATTGAGGGACATTGCCGCAACCACACATCCTTAACCAAGACGCTAAACCTAACAAGAGCAAGAGCAGGGCCCCTCCGCCGGTGAGGGTCCGAGGTCCTCCGCACCTCCACTGCCCAAAGGCCATCGGATGTGGAGTGGGCCGACGGAGACGCTGGTGGGAGGAGGAGGAAACCTAATTGTCTGGGAGTCCTTTTGTGGTGAGCAAAATTAGTGTGACATGCGGACTTGAATCCTATAGGATCAACAAACTACACAAATTTGGACTAGAGAGTGTTAAATACCACACGAAAAGCAAATAATTGTGAAAAAATGGTTTGAGCAGGATGAAAATTTTCCTCTAAGATAGTGTGCAAAGTAATCGTTTGAATATTTTTTCTAAGGATTCTAATAATCCTACAAATCAAACATTATATATATAGAAAATTCTAAGGATACACATCCTATCCTATAAAAATTCTACTCCCTCCGTTCCCTAACGTAGGGCATATTTTGTTTACTGAAAGTCAAACATGCCTTTTTTTTGCAGATAGTCTACATCTAAAAAAATTCTACAACCTCTGTCCCATAATGTAAGACGTCTGTTGACTCTATTACATTATGGGACGGAGGGAGTAGGATATAAAGTATAGAGATCTAAAATACAAAAAAATGTGCACTTCCCCAATAAATCCAGCCGGACCCGAGCCGCAGAGACACCCACCCGTGGAGAAAAGAAAGGATTTTCGTTTCGTTTTCGTCTGCTTCCGCCTCTGCTCCGTCGTCCGCACGCGACCAGCTTGACTCCCTCGCGCACGAGCAACAGGAGCGCGAGGAGATGCAGATCTTCGTCAAGACCCTCACGGGGAAGACCATCACCCTCGAGGTCGAGAGCAGCGACACCATCGACAACGTCAAGGCCAAAATCCAGGTGCGCCGCCGCCGCCGCCCCCTCCCCCCTACCCGATCCTTTCTAGGTCTACCCGCTGATTGGCTTAGTTTAATTTCGCTGGGGCGATGCGTCCAGTAAATCGTTGATGCGCTGCCCCTATACCGTCCGGGGGGCGTCCGCGCTGCTAGTCCTGCCCTAGTTTTTTAGATGGCGTGCTGTTTCTGCGCATGTTTGTTAGGATTTCAGATTGCCTTGCGTTTATTCGGGCAGGCCCGGGAAATTATCTGATGAAGTTTGGATCGGTCGAACTAGGGCAAGCATGCTGGGACGTTTTTAGCAAACTCTGTAGGGTTTATTTTGCTGGGCTGCGCCTAAAAGTTGCATCCAAGGGTTCATCCCTTTTTCTGTCAAATTATACAAATCCGTTCTGGTGTGCAAAATTAGAACAGTTCAGGTAGTACCTCTTTTTGAAGTCTGAGACTTGAGTAGTAGACGAGTTGTATGCAAATTCTATCATTGTGTTGTATAGTGGGTATCTGATTCAGTAACAAATGACGAAAAGGAATACAGTCCATGCTTTGTTGTAACGCATGGATGTCTCACTTGGTATCTTGTGCTGGTGCTGCTCCCTGTGATAGAGTAGAATATATCAAATGATGAGACATTGCCTTTTATGTGTATCATTCTTGTAGTTAAGTTACCTGTGTTCTGTTTCAAATCACTCATCTATTCTTCGGTTCTGAAATAGATCGATGGCGCACCATACCATCTGTTACCATTGTGATCCGAATCCAGAAAACTGTCTATGTAGTTCTGTATTGCCATTGCATTGGTTAAGTGGCAGGCTAGCCTACTTCAAGCAGTGGAAACTGAACTAACACGCCATTTTGTGCACTGTCACAGGACAAGGAAGGGATTCCTCCGGACCAGCAGCGTTTGATATTTGCTGGCAAGCAGTTGGAG